AAAAAAAAAAAAAAAAAAAAAAAACACGGAGTTTCACCATATTGATTAGCCTGGTCTTGAACTGACAACCTCAGGTGATCCACCTGCCTTGACCTCCAAAGTGCTTGGATTACAGGCATGAGCCACCACACCCGGCCCGTCCCAGCACTTTGGGAGGCCAAGGCAAATGGATCACTTGAGGCCAGGAGTTCAAGGCCAGCCTGGCCAACATGGAGAGATTCCATCTCTACTAAAACTACAAAAATTAGCTGGGTGTGGTGGCAGGTGCCTCTAGTCGCAGCTACCCTGGAAGCTGAAACACGAGAATCTCTTGAATCTGGGAGGCAGAGGTTCCAGTGAGCAGAGATCAGGTCACTGTACTTCAGCCTGGGCAACAGAGCAAGATCCTGTCTCAAAAAAATAAACAAAAAAGCACAGATAACCAGCTCTCCCAGAGGGCTGTAATTCTGGTGGGAAGTCAGATATGAATATCTGATAAGATAATGCATAATCACCAAGTAAAATAAGAAGTTGACTACAGGAACTTGGTAACATGAAAAGAAACTGATCTAGTGTGGAAGGGAGAAGGGTAGCCCACCCTAGGCTTCCTGAGAGCTACAGAAAGTAGGATTTGGCCAGGCACAGTGGCTCAAGCCTATAATCCCAGCCCTTTGGGAGGCTGAGGCAGGTGGATCACCTGAGGTCAGGGGTTCGAGACCACACTGGCCAACAGGGTGAAACCCCATCTCCACTAAAATACAAAAATTAGCTGGGCGGGTGGTATATACCTGTAGTCCTAGCCACTCAAGAGGCTGAGGCAGGAGAATCATTGAACTTGGGAGGTGGAGGTTGTAGTGAATAGAGATCATGCCACTGTACTCCAGCCTGGGTGACAGAGTGAGACTCCATCTCAAAAAGAAAAGAAAAGAAAGAAAAAAGGAAGTAGGATTTAATTCCCAAAAGAGGGGAGGAAACAGTATGCAGAGTGGTGGGATCAGACTGTGCAAAGGTCCTGCGGCAGGAGGGAGCCTGTCTTATTGAAGGACCTGAAGAGGCTAGTGGGATTGGAGGCCAGTGGGTGGGATTGTAAGACTGTAGGTCTCAGTGAGGAGTTTGGCATGATTCTAGCAGCACTGGAAAGATACAAATGTGTACGTGCAATAAAGGCTGATTGACATTTGCCTCAGAATGACACAGATCCCTAGAGTCACTGGCCCAAAGCAATTCTCCGAGCTTTTGCACTTGCTGTGCCCTCTGCCTGAAATGCTCTGTTTCCAGATTTTTCTGAGGCTGATTTGTTCTCATCATTTAGGTCTTGACCCAAACGACCCATCCTAAAGGAGCTCCCTCTACATGCACTGTTGCTCTCTATCACTTGATCTTGTTTTATTATTTTAACAGCACTTTCACAAGCTAAAACAAAATTGTTCATTTCTTTGCTTGTTTACTGTTACTGTTTCCACTTGCTAGAAAAAAATGATCAGTATAGGCAGGAATTTTGCCTTAATGATTACCACATTCTAAGTAATTGAAAATGATTACCAATTCTATCAGCATTGTGCTAGCCCACAGTAGGGCCTCAATAAATAACGAATGAACAAATGAATGAATTACTGAATACACACCAAGATAAAAGGGCCAGCATTTACCCCAAACATATACGTATAAGTATATGGCTATTTATGAGCAAGTGCATGAGTACACATGGTGACTCAGGGACCTCTCTCACCTACAAGGACCACCTCTCAAGGGGCCTCTTAGGCAACCCAGAGGCTGTACAGTTCATTGCACTGGCCTAGCTAATCAACATCCACCTCCTCTGGCTGGATGAGGACATAACACAAGCAGACACGTCTCAGGTCAGCCGTTGGTTAATCAAAGATGAGGGTAGAATTTAAAGTGCCCTATGGAGGGCCAGTGGAAAGAGATTGAGCCCTGTGGCCTGGACACAGTAAAACCCCTTACAGATTCCATCTATTTCCCATCTCTCATTTCCCATCTCCTCCTGGAACCCCAGCCCATCTTCCACCGCTCCCCATTTCCCACTCTATTGGAAGTGGCTGAATCAGGCATTGTGTGGGAGGCAGAACAAAGAGATTAGAATTTAGTGGGGTTTTACAGGGTTTGGGAATTTTTTGTTTTTTTTTTTTTTTTTTGAAACAGAGTTTCACTCATGTTACCCAGGCTGGAGTGCAATGGCGCGATCTCGGCTCACCGCAACCTCCGCCTCCTGGGTTCAGGCAATTCTCCTGCCTCAGCCTCCTGAGTAGCTGGGATTACAGGCACGCGCCACCATGCCCAGCTAATTTTTTGTATTTTTAGTAGAGACGGGGTTTCACCATGTTGACCAGGATGGTCTCGATCTCTTGACCTCGTGATCCACCCGCCTTGGCCTCCCAAAGTGCTGGGATTACAGGCTTGAGCCACCGCGCCCGGCCCTAAGGGTTTGGGAATTTGACTAGTTGGGCAACATTTTAAACAAGGATTTATTGTCTAAGTGAGCACCTACTAAGTGGAAAGCATGGCTAGGGCCTGCCAGATTCATACATAATAGCTGAGTTAGGGGAGATTGTGAAAAATGATTTAGTGGGAAACCTTAAAGGTGGAATCCCGGTGTTCCCAAGGTACATGTTAGAGTGGGACACAGTTAATTCCCAGTTGGGGAGCTCTGGGATAGCTTATCAGAGTATCATTCTAAATAACTACCACTTTAAAGAGCACTTACTGTGTGGGTACGTTTTACATGTGGCCTTTCTTATTTAATTTTCACTCTAAGCCTGTGTATGTATGATTGCTATTATTATCCCATTTACAGATGGGGAGACTAAGGCTCAGGGAGGGTTAAGTGAGTTGCTCAAATTTTCCACAGCTGTTAAGTGGCAGAGTAGATTTTCAAGCTCAAGAGGAGACTCCAGAGTCCCTGCTCTGGGACCTCACCATGACGATGGTCATAACTGTGCCTTGTAGCAAAGGTAGGATTTAGGTGGGAAGATAGGAGAAGTCTGTTCTAGAAAGAGGACGCAGTTTGAGAAAAAGCCGACAGGCAATGGTGCCTGTGTGCGTGTGCATGTGTGTGTGTGTGTGTGATGGAGTTTTGCTCTGTCACCCAGGCTGGAGTGCAGTGGCACAATCTTGGCATCCCAGGTTCAAGCGATTCTCCCCACTCAGCTTCCCATGTAGCCAGGATTACAGGCACTGCCACCACGCCCAGCTAATTTTTCTGTATTTTTAGTAGAGACAGAGTTTTACCATGTTGACCAAGCTGGTCTCCAACTTTTCCTGGATCCACCTGCCTCCACCTCCAAAAGTGCTGGGATTATGGGTGTGAACCACCACACCCAGCCCAGATGTTTTTTTAATCTCTGATAGCCTGAGGTCCTAGGAGATTTTAAACAACAACAACAAAAACAAACCAACAAATAAAAAACTATTGCTGACTTTTTCCTCTATCTGGTCTTTAGGATATTAGCCCCGGGATGGATTCCTTGCCCTGGGTGTGTCTTTTTCTAGTTCCCAAACAGAACTTTATCCAAGGGTGGATGGTAATGGGGTGACAGTGCAGTATTTTTGATGAATTGGTCTTCTCCCTACCCTGGCTGGGGATGGGGGCCACTTGGGGACACTTTCCAGGCCCAGCTGGTCCTCTGCCCATCTGCATCCCTGCCTCCTGACTCATTTCAATCCATCCAATAGAGTCTTAGCATGCAAATTTAATGAATAGGCAAAGAAATGATTGGCTCATTTTCCCTGATGTAATAATGCCACTATTCAAGTAACTCCCATGAACCCTACCCCCACCCCAATTCAGGGCATTTGATCATGTTCTGGCAAGAATCCCCAATTCCTCTATTTTCCCTTTTTTTCCCCCATTCTGAGTTAGCGAATCACTTCAAAATGCTCGACTCATCTCTCCAGGAATGGCATGTCTGGAGGACCAGGAAGCCACCCTTGGGCCTGAACCACTGCCGTTTTTCTGGGAGGCCCCTTATGCCTCTGTTGACCATGGGTAGCATCAAATCCAGGATAACAGAACCCATTTAGTAAGACATTTTGCAAGAATCCATGTCCAAAGGCTTCCTGAAACCAAACCCCAGCATATCGGCTGTTCCTTTCAGCCCCTAATTTAGTAATTCTATTGAGAAAAAGAGATTGTGGGTTTTTTTATTTGGTGTGATTTATTCTTTATCATATAAATAATAATAATTTACACAAAGCTCGTCCCCAAACAGAAGAGAATCTGTACATAAAAATAAACAAAAATTAAACTGAGCTGGGCCTGGTGCCCAGAAAACCAGCCAATTCCAAACACAACCAGGGGGAAAAAATTCTCCAGGTCCTGGGAGCTCTGGGGCCTTGGCTGGAATTCTGGGTGGAGACTCTGGTCCGGGAAGCCACTGCCCTCCTTCCTCTAGATCCTGTGACGGATGATGGCACCTCTGGCAGCCAGCACTAATGGAGAGCCAACCAGCAATCTCATTGGGTTGGGAGGTGGGTGGGATTTGGGCTCAAAGAAAAAATCACTTTTAAAACTTCTGGGCAGTGCTGCTTGCTGCTGGCTTCCAGGGGCTGCAAGAGATACTGTGGCTGGGGAGATGGGGTGTTGGCCACCACCCAAAGTGGGTGAAAGCTGCCTATGGCTCCATCTTTCTCCTGTAGTTCCTTAGAGGCATGAATTGGACAGAGCATCCACTGGTCTTCTGTTCCCTTGGAGCTCTAGCCCCCTCTCTGGAGGCTCATTATTTCTTATAAATATTGAAAGACGACAAGCAATCTTCTTGGCCATTGATTAATTTCCCTCAGCAGGCGCTCTTTGGCTGTTTGAAACTTCTCCTTCACCACCTCCATCTTATTTCAGAAAAATCTCTAAGAAGGAGACTGCCTTCCACATTCTGATTTTGTACCTTTATTTACAAAAGGAGGGAGTATATGTGGCTTAAACTGTTATTTGGCTTGACTGTAAGCCCTAACTTCCCATCCCAAGGCAGGGGTTAGATCTGCGTTGGTCTGTAGGTACACGGTCATTTGCAATTAGGGACTTTATAAATGGTGAAGTTGGTGGTGATAGTGAGCATGATAAAGCTAAGATGGTGATGGAGAAGATAAAGGACAGGGATTGTGAGCCTGCCCATGTGTCTGGGGGGATTATCTGGCTTAGCCTGAAATGAGAAATAAGAAATAGTGAGAGTGGTGGTGAAAGCTAAGGACAGGAGAAGAGGAAAGTGAAGGTAAATGTGTGCAGATGCAGGTGAAGCTTCCAGAGGAGAGAGGTAGCACAGCCCAGTGGTTAGGAGTCTAGATTCTGAGGCCAGACATTCTGGTTTCACATTCTAGCTTGGCCACATACTAGCTTAGGGAAGTTTTTAACCTCTCTGAGCCTCAGCCTTCCCAGGCGTAAAATGGGAATCATAGTAGTACCTGCCTCAGAGCGAGGCTGGGAACACAGAGCAAGTGCCTGGCCAATGCGAAGCGCTGTGTGAGCGTGTGCAGCCTCAGGTGTAGGTGGGGTTAGTTATAGCCAGAGGAAAGGCCACAGAGCACAGCAAGCAGTTCTGGGAGGATTCAGGAGACCTCGGTCAGGCCCCATCACAGTCCTGTGTGACTTTCCCCATCTGGGCCTCAGGTGCCTTATGAAAGGAGAATTGAAGTAAATAATATTCAGGCCTCAAAAAGTCCCCTTGGGCAGCAAAGCTCTGGACGCATGACTGATAATGGTCCTGTGGGAACATCCAGGCCCAGATAAGACTCTACAAGTCTATAGGTCCAGGTGTAGGTTCAGCAGGCATGCTTGTTGTGTTAGGGGTCAAACCCAGGGGGTTGCTGAGCTGGTTGAAACAGCCTCCTTTTAGGGGTAATAGATGAGAGGTGAGTTCTTGCCTAGGAGAGGAGGTTCCAGCTGTCCCTCTCACCAAGGAGATTGCTGGGCTCCAAAGTGCAGCCCTGATGGGGCCGAGCCACCGATGATGGCTGTACTGTGACTGTAGCCATGTTGGCATCTGCTACCAAGTTTGGGTTCATGAGGAGTTTCACTACCAGAACCAGCCTTTTCCAGTTCTTCCCCTTGTTTGCATTCTTGAGTTTTTTCCTACCCTCTAGGGTTGAAGGACAGGAGGGATAGAAAGGGCACTCATGCCCTGTGCCTAATTAAATCTTTATAGACCCTTCCTTCTCTTGGCCTTGTCTAAGGATGTCAGAGCCCTCTAAAGTCCCCACACCAACAGGAGGAAATCAGAGGCTGCAGGGGAGGAATTGATCACAGGATGTTTTCCCTTTATTCTGCCTTAGAGGAAACCCAGCTTCAGGTTCATTGCTCCCTGAAAGTCAGGGGTGAGGAAGGAGTTTGGCCTTCAGTACCCAGGGGCCTTCATCAGTCCCTCACCTATTTTCCTGACAAGGCTCAGCCACTCTTCCACCTGAAGGAGGGAAAAGAGCCCTGCCAGGTCCTGAATTCCAGTCCTGGGAACACTCAACATCATGGTCTCTGGTCCCAGCCTGAATTTCATCTAAGAGTGGAAGCCTGCCTCTTAGATGAAATTCTAAGCCTGCCTGTGGTGTCTGCCCCCTGGGCTAATACTTGGTTGGCTTAGGTCCCAATCAACCTAGGCACAGGGGATCATGGGCCATGTGTGTGCATTTGGTTGGTGCTTAGAAGATATAATACAAATATTAGCAATCCACTTGAACTCTTGCTCTGTCAGGCTTTGCGCTAGATGTTCCACATGCATCATTTTACTGCATCCTCATTTCAGAGTAGAAAATAGGCTCAGAGAAGTCAGGTCATTTATTCAAGGTCATGCAGTTCGAAAGCATCAGAGTCTAGATTGTGGACCTCTCTGATTCCAAAGGCTATGCTCTTATTCACTGACCTTTGCACCATCTACCTGGATGAACGTGAAGTCACCTGCCTGACACTCAGTTACTAACTGTCCTCAGTTTGCCACACTGAGGACAGTGTGGTGGGCCAAGAGGGGCCATCCTCAGGCCTCAGATCCACCTGCCACCCATGATCTCCTGTCTACCTAAGACTGTCCAGTGAGCCTCCGAGAAAAGCAGATCCCAGAGCTATCCCAACAGCTTAAGGAGGCGGCCAAGTCTTTGCTGAGCCTGCAAACCCCCATCTATAGGCCCCCCAAAGAGCTCATTTTGAGAACTCCCACAATACCTCTTCCCAGCCCCTGTTCCCTCCATCAAAGTGATCCTCCAACCCTGCTTTCCATTTCCTCTCCTACCTCCAAAGCATTCCCTGCAGCACCCCCAGGTTCCCTTCGTCCTGAAGCCCAGACCTGTAGAGTTAGACTGGTCCAGCCTGCAAATCTCCCAGTTGGGCTTCTTTTTGGGGTCACAGCTTCGGAAGCATCTCTGCATCTTGCCTGTACTTTGATAAATCATGTGAAAACCTGAGTCTCTTCGCTGCTCTTCTGGAACCCCCTCCTCCCTGCAACTTCTCCCTGCTCACCAGCTGCACAATGCAGTCAGAGGGAAGGGGGTGGACTGGCAGAAACCAGCGTGTTTCTGAGGCTGGAAAACAGAACTGTAGGAAATTAACAGGCTGAGAAATGTCTGCTCGGCTCGTGTTTGTTTTGCACTGTCAATCGTTCTCTCTGCAGCTCTCTCCTCCTGCCCCTGCCCCTCTCCCTCCCCCGCTGCTCAGCGTGGACGCCTGGGGCTTGGTGGCTGTGTGTCTGGGCCTTGCAGGAAGGTGCATCCTGGTGTGTGTGTGAGGGTGTGTGCGTGTGTGTGTTTCTCTGTGTGTGTTTGGGGATGGCAGACCTGCCCCTCCTTCAGAGGCAGCTTAGCCAGAAACGCCAGCGGCAGAGACAATTGTGCGGGTGGGGATGCTGAGCACAGAGCCGGCAGAGCCCGCGGGCAGGCAGAGAAGCACCACACAAGAAATTGATTCCATTAAAAAGTAATCTTAAATTTAATAAAAGTTATGATTTTATTATAGCCACAGAACCTACAGGCAAGAGGGAAGGGGGATGGATTCTAGTGATGGATAAACAGAAAGAAAAAAACAAGAGGGGGAGGGGAGGAGAGAGAGATGCTTAGGTTTGGATGGATGAGAGGATGGAAAGACCTGGGGGTGGGGAACGAAGACCATTTTCTCTCCCTCAGATGGAAGAAAAAAGCCTGTGGCTGGATTCCAAAGAGGAAGCAAGAGTGAGGAGTGAGAGAGGAGATGCAAGGAGCTCTTGGGAGATGGAACTGTTGGAGGGGGCTGGGACATGGAGGCAGGCCTGGGAGAGGCGGATGTGCAGGAGGGATGGTCTGGAGTCCTGTGAAGGCAGGCAAAGAACGCAAAGCACCCATTTAGCATTCAGACAGGCAGTCCTGGGTTTCGACCCCAGGTCAACCTCTTCCTAGCAGTGTAACCCTCTCAGGCCGTCAGCTTTTTCGTTTGCCAGATGGAGCCATGGAGATAGTGCCTATCTCACAAGGTGGTCGTGAGGATGAGTGAAATCGGGCAGGTGCATCTCCTGGATGCCCAGGAAAGGACAGTTCCCTTGCTGACCGCCCCCAGGTGGAGGTCATTGCGTCAACACTGCCCCCTCCTGTTTGTTTGCAAGCGCTGGCCAATCCTACTCCTTCTATTCTTTTTGCAATGGCGGGAACTGAGTGGCCTTCATCTCCAGTGTCAATCTGGAGGCTGGTTCTTCTGGGTAATCTCATACTTTGTCGTTTGCCCACCTCTCTAGAGCATAAAGAGGGTATGGGCAAGGCACTCTAGAGCCCACTTCCACTATGAGCTAGGGGACACATTCCTTTGCCTAATCTGCCCTCCCCCGCCCTGCCTTTTCTCTCCCCCTCAGCCTAGAATCACGTGTAAGTTCCGAGCTGAAACTCTCCTGACCCCTGAGAAGTGTCCTTTGGGCGAGACTGCACAGATCCAACCCCTTGGCCACCAAATGGAGCCATGGAGATAGTGCCTACCTCTGTGGTTCTGCTGGGCATAGCATTTGGCTTTCAGGCAAGTCTCTTGTTCTTCCTTCCATGGAGCCTGGCCCTGTCTCTAGGCTGGCTGGGAGGGAGCTGGGACCTGCAGGGTCAGCACCAGAACTGGTGAGTGGGGCCTGGGCAGGATGCCAGGACATCACTGTAAGATGCTAAGTGAGGCCACAGCCAGAAGATCCCAGCTACCCCAGAATCCAGGAACTGAGAACCAGGAAAACTCGTCATAGCAACAGGAGTCTCCTGGGGAAGCAAGAAATCATTCTGGGGATAACACAGCCAGTTCTGCTCAGTCATTTCATCTGGGCTGCTTTTAGCAAAGTACCTCCACCTGAATTCACTCTTGCCCCTTGGCATGTTAAAGTCACCTGCTGGCTGGAGACATTGAGGAAGACAGGACTGTTGTTATTAGCGTCTTCATTTTACTGATGAAGAAACCGAGGTCAGAAAGAGCAAGCTACTGTCCCCAGGCCACACAGCTTGTAATATATGGAGCTGAAACTGAGAGCAAGCGTTTAGACTCTGGATAAAGGCGCCACAGCCTACCCTACCGAGCATCACTCATCATGGCTACATCTACCGGAGGCCTTGTCACCACTGCTGTCACCATGCTGCCTTAACTCCCCCCTCTTTTGCCAATATCACTACCTGGAGCCTCATCACAGTGGCTGCTGGGCTCACACATACATCCTCTTCCAGGAAGCGCAGCCCAGTCTGGGATTCTCATGTCCTGTGTAGTTTCCAGAAGAAAGAACTATAGCCCTGAAGGTGGGGCAGGGTGACCTAGAGGCAGTGGAGCACAGTGACCCGCAGCTAAGAGCCTGTTGGCATTGCTGAGGGTCTAACTGGGACTATGGATACAATCTGGCCACTACCCCCAAAGGATTTCCAGACCTCTCCCCATGAACCAAGACAGGGAGATGGACAGGCCACTTCCTGGGTGGGGGCCTCCAGTGGGGCACCCTTTCACTCCAAGACATGCTGCCTCCCCAAGACATGCAGCCTTTCCAGGATAGAAATCCCACTCTGCTGCCCAACCTCAGTCTGTCTGATGTCTATTTTTTGGTTCTATTCTCTGCGAAGAGAATAGACACTCCCTGTGTAAAATCCAGACACCCTCCTCTTCTTGAGAAGGATTCTCTTCCTCCTCCTCTGCAGAGACTAAGGCATGGATGGCAGTGTCTGGGGTTAAGGGATCATTTAGGGAGAGGTCCTCCAGCGAGGTCTGATCTCTATCAGCGCCCTAGGCTGTGTTCTTTTTTTTTTTTTTTGAGACAGAGTTTCACTCTTGTTACCCAGGCTGGAGGCAATGGCACCACAACCTCCACCTCCTGGGTTCAGGCAATTCTCCTGCCTCAGCCTCCTGAGTAGCTGGGATTACAGGCACGTACCACCATGCCCAGCTAATGTTTTGTATTTTTAGTAGAGACGGAGTTTCACCATGTTGACCAGGATGGTCTCGATCTTCTTGACCTTGTGATCCACCCGCCTTGGCCTCCCAAAGTGCTGGGATTACAGGGGCTGTATTCTTAAAAGCAGATCCTTATTTTACTTGAAATGATCCCTACCTCTTAGAGTTGCCTTTAGAGGTGACCTTCAGAAGGAGCCACCTTAGAGTCCTGACACCTGTGTGACATTCATTAATAAATCACCTTCCCCAGCCACTTCCCAGAGCTTGTCTTCCATGTTGGATGCAGAAAAGGGTTCAGTCAGGGAAGGGGAACTAACTTGGGCCAAGAGCCTACTGCATACCAGACCCTTGCTAGAGGCTTGACCTACAAGATGCCACTTGATCCTTGCAACAGCTTTGTGAGGCAGCTCTATTATCTCCACTGGGCAGTTAAGAAAACAGAAAATCGGGGCCTGGCGTGGTGGCTCACGCCTGTAATCCAAGCACTTTGGAGGCTAAGGTGGGCAGATCACCTGAAGTCAGGAGTTCAAGACCAGCCTGACCAACATGGTGAAACCCCATCTTTAAAAAAAAAAAAAAAAAGAAACAGAAAATTGGCCAGGCATGGTGGCTCACACCTGTAATCCCAGTGCTTTGGGAGGCCAAGGTGGGTGGATCACCTGAGGTACAGAGTTTGAGACCAGCCTGGCCAACATGGTAAAACCCAGTCTCTACTAAAAATAAAAAATTAGCCAGGTGTGGTGGCACATGCCTGTAGTCCTAGAGACTCAGGAGGCTGAGGCAGGAGAATCACTTGAACCTGGGATGCGGAGGTTGCAGTGATCCAAGATTGTGCCACTGCACTCCAGCCTGGCATGCGCACATACACACACACACACACACACACACACACACACACACACACACACACAGAGAGAGAGAAAAAACAGAAAATCAGAGAGGTTAAGTGACTTAACCAAGGTCACACAGGAAAAAGGTGGCAAAACTGGGATTTGAACCCAAATACTTCTGAATGGAAAGTCCATGCTCTTTCTAACCTATGTGCCTTTCATCACTGGTTCAGCCTTAAGGATGGAGGGCTCCTTCACAGAAAAAAGTTCTCCACTCCAACTTGGCAGTATTTTTCAAAATGAAAAATTCATACATATTTTGAGCCAGCAAACTCTTTTCTAGGAATAAATCCTCAAGAAACACTCATACATGTGCACAAAATGTATTAGATGTTCTTGTTTGCAAAGCAAAATATCAGAAACAAACTAAATGTCCATCAGTAAGGGATTGGATAAAAAAACTGAATGACTACGTAGCTGTAAGAGGAGGAGCGCTGGGTGCAGTGACTCTTGCCTATAATCCCAACTATTTGGGAGACTGAGGCGGGGGTGGATCACCTGAGGTCAGGAGTTCAAGATCATCCTGGGCAGCGTGGGGAACCCCTATCTCTACTAAATACACAAAATTAGCCAGGCATGGTGTAATCCCAGCTACTCAGGAGGCTGAGGCAGGAGAATCGCTTGAACCTGGGAGGTGGAAGTTGCAGGGAGCCGAGATTTAACCAGGGCACTCCAGCCTGGGTGACAGAGCAAGACTCTGTCTCAAAAAAAAAAGAAAGAAAGGAGGAGCTAGCTATACCTTAACTTTACTGGCATAGAGAGCTCTCTATATCTAGGAGGGAAATAACAATATCTTAAATATTGAATATATTTACGTATATTTTATGTGTGCAAATATATTACATATACATATTTTGTTTATGTAGTTGGTTGGTTTGTTTTGTTGCAGTTTGTTTTTTTTTTTAACTTTTTTTCTGTCTTATTCCATCCACAACCAGTGGAAGGTGTTTTAGTTTTTTTTTTTTTTTTTTTTTGGGAGGCGAAGTTTTGCTCTTGTTGCCCAGGCTGAAGTGCAATGGCACGATCTCAGCTCACTGTAACCTCTGCCTCCCAGGCTCAAGTGATTCTCCTGCCTCAGCCTCCTGAGTAGCGGGGATTACAAGAGCCCGCCACCACATCCGGCTAATTTTTTATATTTTTAGTAGAGACGGGGTTTCACCATGTTGACCACAGCTGGTCTCGAATTTCTCACCTCAGGTGATCCACCCACCTTGGGCTCCCAAAGTGCTGGGATTACAGGCATGAGCCACCACCCCTGGACTGTAGTTGTTTTGTATTGCTTTGTTTGTTCATTTGGTTTTTTTGTTTGTTTTTTATTTTTTTGAGATGGAGTCTTGCTCCATCCCCCAGGCTGAAGTGTAGTGGCGGCGAGATCTTGGCTCACTGCAACCTCCACCTCCCAGGTTCAAGTTATTCTCCTGCCTCAGCCTCCTGAGTAGTTGGGATTATAGGTATGTACCACCACACCTGGCTAATTTTTGTATGTTTAGTAGAGAAGGGATTTCACCATGTTGGTCAGGCTGGTCTTGACCTCCTGACCTTGTGATCCACCCACCTCGGCCTCCCAAAGTGCTGGTATTACAGGCGTGAATCATAGCACCTGGCTGGAGTACAGTGGCGCAATCTCAGCTCACTGCAACCTCTGCCTCCCAGGTTCAAAGGATTCTCCTGCCTCAACCTCTTGAGTAGCTGGGATTACAGGCATGCGCCACCACAGCCAGTTAATTTTGCATTTTTAGTAGAAACGAGGTTTCTCCATGTTGGTCAGGCTGGTCACAAACTCCGGACCTCAGGTGATCCACCCACCTCTGCCTCCCAAACTGCTAGGATTACAGGCATGAGCCACAACACCCAGCCTGTAGTTGGTTTTTTAAAGCATTGATTGTTTCCCAGTGAAGCGGAAGTAGGGAAACGGTGGGGAAGGGTAAAAAAGCAACTCCTAGGCACCAGGAACAGACCCTCCACCCTCTCTGTCTTTCATCAGAGCCCTGTCCTCCCTCTTACCCCTAAGGACTCTCAGTGCAGACATCACAGTGCCTAGGACAAGGGAAGGGAGTTTCTTATCAGTGCTGGGCATGACTTCCTCCCACCAGCCCCATCCCCACCTGGAACCTCTTGTAAGCAGCTGTGGACTAGGCCCACGGTAGATGGTCCTCAGGAGATTGTTTCATCAGCTTATAATCAATGGGCCTTAAACACATCTTGCCACTAAAAGGTGAGGGTAAAAGCTGGGCTGCATCTCATGATGTGGTGGAGCTGTGAAACACTGACTGTGTGCACGTCAAACTTGGCTTAGTTCCTCCTTCTGGCTCTCTTGTTTATCACTAAGTTTTGTATACAGTAAATCAGATGAAATCTGGGGACATCTGATAAGGAAGGGGTTGGGTCGGGGAGAGATGTCTAGCATGTGACAAGCAGGGATTGGTTGAATATTTTTATTCATCTTTAAAGATCAGTCTTGGCCAGGCACGGTGGCTCTCGCCTATAATCCCAGCACTTTGGGAGCCCAAGGCAGGTGAATCACCTGAGGTCAGGAGTTATGGATGAGCCTGACCAACAGGCGAAACCCTGTCTCTACTAAAAATGCAAAAATTAGCTGGGCATGGTGGCATGGCACGTGCCTATGATCCCAGCTACTCGGGAGGCTGAGGCAGGAGAATCGCTTGAACCCAGCCTGGGCAACAGAACCAAGACGCTGTCTCAAAAATAAAAAATAAGGCCGGGCGCGGTGGCTCACGCCTGTAATCCCAGCACTTTGGGAGGCCGAGGCGGGTGGATCACCAGGTCAAGAGATCGAGACCATCCTGGTCAACATGGTGAAACTCTGTCTCTACTAAAAATACAAAAAATTAGCCAGGCATGGTGGTGCGTGCCTGTAATCCCAGCTACTCAGGAGGCTGAGGCAGGAGAATTGCCTGAACCCAGGAGGTGGAGGTTGCGGTGAGCCGAGATCGCGCCATTGCACTCCAGCCTGGGTAACATGAGTGAAACTCCGTCTCAAAAAAATAAATAAAATAAAATAAATAAAGATCAGTCTTTTTTTTTTTTTTTTTTTTTTTTTTTTGAGATGTAATTTCACTCTTGTCCAGGCTGGAGTGCAATGGCACAATCTCGGCTCACTGCAACCTCTGCCTCCTGGGTTCAAGTGATTCTCCTGCCACAGCCTCCTGAGTAGCTGGGATTACAGGCGTCCACCACCACGACTGGCTGATTTTTTGTATTTTTAGTAGAGATGGGGTTTCACCAGGTTGGCCAGGCTGATCTCGAAGTCGACCTCAGGTGATCTGCCTGCCTTGGCCTCCGAAAGCAGTGGGATTACAGGCATGAGCCACCATGCTCGGCCTAAAGATCAGCCTTGGCTGGGTGCTATGCCTCACACCTGCAATTCCAGCACTTTGGGAGGCTGAGGTAGGAGGACTGCTTGAGCCCAGGAGTTCAAGACCAGCCTGGGCAACAGGGAGACCTCATCTCTAGAGTTAAAAAAGAAATTGGCCGGGCATGGTGCCTCATGCCTGCAATCCCAGCACTTTGGGAGGCTGAGGCAGGCAGATCACTTGAGGTCAGTAGTTGGAGACCAGCCTGGCCAACATGGTGAACCCCCATATCAACTAGAAATACAAAAATCAGCCAGATGTGACTGGGTGTGGTGGCCCACACCTGTAATCCCAGCACTTTGGGAGGATGAGGTGGGCAGATCACTTGAGGTCAGGAGTTCCAGTCCAGCCTGGCCAAGATGGTGAAACCCCATCTCTACAAAAAATATGAAATTAGCATGGCATGGTGGCATGCACCTGTAATCGCAGCTACTCGGCAGGTTGAGGCAGGAGAACTGCTTGAACCCAGGAGGCAGGGGTTGTAGTCAGCCAAGATCATGATGCTGAACTCCAGTGTGGGCGACAGAGTCAGACTCTGTCAAAGAAAAGGAAGGAGAAGGAGGGAAGGAAGGAAAGGAAGGAAGGAAGGAAGGAAGGAAGGGAGGGAGGGAGGGAGGGAGGGAGGGAGGGAGGGAGGGAGGGAGGAAGGAAGGAAAAAATTGGACTTGGAGCAAGGATTACATGATGAGTCGTTAGTAGGAACATTGGTTGCAACTGGTTGCTGACTGTTCAGATAAACTCCAATGACCTTGTCTTCCTTCCCACCCAGGTAGACCCACACCCTGTGCAGACTGGAAGCTCAGAGAGACTACTGTCATCATACAGACAGATAGCCTATGTAGCAATAAAAAAGCTTTCATGAAACCTTAGATTGGCCCATCTGGAAAATCATCTTTGGCTGTGTGTTCTTTCCAATAAGTTCTGCTATCCCTGCTTCACTGTTGAATGTGAGTTCAGTGACCCTAAAGGACTATCCCACCCACCCCACCCCCATGCACACCTGCTTTCCCATCAGACTCAGTCCTCATCCCTGCAGTTGTGTCTCTCTCTGGGTTGTCTTTCTTTCCTTCCATTTTTCTCTCCTTTTTTTTTTTTTGAGACTGAGTCTCACTCTGCCCAGGCTGGAGGGCAGTGGTGTGATATCAGCTCACTGCAGCCTCTGCCTCCTGAGTTCAAGCAATTTTTCTGCCTTGTCCTCCTGAGTAGCTGGTACTACAAACATGCGCCACCATACCCAGCTAATTTTTTTTTTTTTTAAAGACAGGGTTTCACCATGTTGGCCAGGCTAGTCATGAACTCCTGACCTCAGGTGATCCACCCACCTTGGCCGCACAAACTGCTGGGATTACAGGCATGAGCCACTGCACCTGGCCTCTCTCCCTCTGTTTCTCTAAGTAGACTTAGAGTCTCTTGGATGTAAATGACAGAAATACAACTCAAACTGGCTTCAGCTTTTTTGCTCACATAACTAAAAAGCACAGGAATAGACTTCAAGCATAGCTGAATCCAGGTGCTCAGACATTGTCACTTGGATCTGTCTCACTTCAACTTTTGGGTCTCTCTCCATTGTGTTAGCTTTACTCTCTGATAGCCACTTTCCAAGTGGTTTAAGAAGCTCCAGTCTTAGGCCAGGCGTGGTGGCTCATGCCTGTAATCCCAGCACTTTGGGAGGCCAAGGTGGGTGGCTCATGAAGTCAGGAGATTGAGACCATCCTGGCCAACCTGGTGAAACCCCATCTCTTAAAAAAAAAAATTAAAATAAAAGTAAAAAAAATAAAAAAGAAGCTCCAGTCTCACACTGACTAGTGTGGCAAACAACACAGAAAGAAAACACCCATCTTTCAATAGTTCAGCAAAAGATCCACTGCTAATGTTACTGGATTAACTTTTTGTGAGTCACAGTGTCCTGGAGATGAAAGGCACAGATTGACCAGGTCCAGTTATGTGCCCACCCTGGGATGCTGGGGTAAGATCAGGTTAGGTCACAGAGATGGGGAAGGAAGATGGGAGACTTGACTGACCATGACACTGACACTGGGAGGTCTTCACCTACTAGATCTCAGTTAGGTCTTTTGAAAAACTGGGTTGGTATCCAGATCTGATTCTCTGCTGTTGGGACACTTGCAGCCTAGTTTCTTTTCATAGCCTTAGGCAGATGATCTGAATGAAAGCAGCTTCCAGATCTTTCTCACTCTCACTACTCCCCTATTTCCACTCCCAGTGGAGACTCTGTGGTATAGAGGGGTGAGGGAGGGAGACAAGAGAAAGTAAGAGATGGGATGAGAAAGAAAGAGAAGGGAAGAACAGCAGAGAGAAAAGCTCTGAAGCAAACCTCCAAGGCTGCACTGGTCCTGGGCCACTTCAGCCCCCACCTGCATCCCACCCACTGGCCCACATCCTCCACCTGTGAGTGGTGCATTGAGGCTTAGCTGTTCCAGAGCCCTGGCTGGGCTGGGCTCCAAGCTCTGCTGCTTTGTCAGGGTATCATTATCCCCATTCTGCAGCTCTTGTCACCTGGAGACTCTTTCTTCTTCTCTGGCCCACACACCAACACACAGGTGCCTCCTGCCTGGCTTTCAGCTCCTCCTAACTGCCACCTCCTTTTGGGGCCCTTTCCACTGCCACATAGCCATGGATCTGCCCCTAAGGGTGCCATCCCAGCCCAGGCCCTTTTTCCCTCCTCTTCTCTTCCTCACTGAGTTATCCACTCTTTGTCTAGAGAGAGCCAAAGTCTCTACTCCAAGGGGTTTCCTTTTTTTCCCTGGGAGGAAAAAGGTGCAAGAGGTATCCAGGGTGCCGGGCAGATCCAGCTAACTGATCACTCATGAGAACAAAGCACTCACTCGGGTCTGGTCTGCAACTCATCCACATTCTTCTCCACACCTCCAGGGTGGAAGCTCCTCCTTTTCTGGTTATTCCACATTCAGGACTTCTGAAACTCACCACTCTCCCTGAGTCCCTTGTTGACATCTAGTTTTGCAAATTCCACTTGGGTTTCAGGAGATTGCAAAAGCTTTAAGATCTGCCTGCAACTTGCCGTGAAAACCTTGGACAAGTCCCTTCCCTGCGGACTCCTGGGTTGCACTACAATGAAGAGGTTGAAACTAGATCAACGAGGTAAATCCTAGCATATATGCCAACATTTCTCATCCAATGCCCATGGCAGACATTGCTAATCAACAGCAGCACTCTCTTTTCTGGATGCGTTCCAGGCAGCTGCTACTCATCATTCAGCATTAGCTCATGGCATGCAACATCTTTGCCACTCCTGGACTAGCTGATCTCTGAAGGCCTTTCTCTCATTGACAGCAAGGATTCTGTGGCCTGCTTGAATCAATATTACTTCTCCCTAGTTCCTACTGTTCCCTCTGGCTCATTCTTTTGATCATCCTCATCCCTCCCTCTCTCTCATCTTGCCTTGTTTCCAAGTCTCTGCTGCTGAGTCCATGTAAACCCTAGATGATGTCTGGGTCTCCAAGGTTCTGTTTACTGTCACTCAACTTCAGGCTCTTTGAAGGTTACATTTTCCAGGCAGTCACACTTACACATGTTGGGTGGTTCCGTGGCATTGGCTCAGGGGAGGGAGGCAGTGATTGAGACACCAGAGACAGTCAGAGGAGTAGTAGGACGAATAAGGCCAAAGAAATATTAAGAAAGAGATAACAGGATAGGCAGACAGAGGGGCTGGAGCTAAATTTATGTATCAAGGCCATCCTGGTAAGAACAGGGAGCAGGAGTTTTAATGGAATTTATCCTGGACCCCCAAGGTCACAGTGGGAGGGAGGATCAGGGAGGACCTAAAAGCAAAGGACAAAGGGAGCATATAAATTAATAGCTCAACTGACAAACATGAAAGAGATGAAGGGATTCTTTGGTGGGGAAACTATCGAGAATTGCCGTAATGAGATGGACTAAGCATGCTTCACAAGTGTAAAAGCATCCACTAGTTATTGATCAGAAGAGTTTGGTAGAGTTAGGCGGATGCTGGCTAGCAGCCAATTAGAGGCTTAAAGCAAAGCCCAGCCCAGGTTGCAGGACATGTCTTATTCCATGAGAACTGCCTGGAGCAGTTCTTAGAACTTCCTGGAGCCGTTTTAGAGTTTCAGGAAATGCCTCCAACTTTATCTGAGGGGCATGTGCACTTGCGGAGTATGCACAAGAGTCAACCAACCAAGAGCAGAATGACCACAAGAAAGCCCGTGTGGCCGGGCAAGGTGGCTCGTGCCTGTAATCCTAGCACATTGGGAGGCTGAGGCAGGAGGATTATTTGAGTCCAGGAGTTCAAGACTAGCCTGAGCAACATAGCAAAATTTTGTCTTGCTACAAACATTTAAAAAATTAGCAGGGTGTGGTGGCACATGCCTGTGGTCCCAGCTACTTGGCAGGCTGAGGCAGGAAGATCACTTGAGCCTGGAGTGTCAAGGTTACAGTGAGCCATGGTGGCGCCACTGCACTCCAGCCTGAGCAACAGAGCAAGACACTAGCTCAAAAAAACAAAAGGAAGGAAAGGATGGAAAGGTAGAAAAGAAAGGAAAGAAGGATGGAAGGAAGGAAGGAAAGAAGGAAGGAAGGAAGGAAGGAAGGAAGGAAGGAAGGAAGGAAGGAAGGAAGGAAGGGTGGGCAAGCAGGCTGGACGCGTTGACTCACACCTGCAACCCCAGCACTTTGGGAGGCCAAGGTTGGTGGATCACCCGAGGTCAGGAGTTCAAGCCAACATGGCGAAACCCCATCTCTACTAAAAATACAAAAATTAGCCAGGTGTGGTGGTGAGTGCCTGTAGTCCCAGCTACTTGGGAGACTGAGGCAGGAGAATCACTTGACCCTGGGAGGCAGAGGTTGCAGTGAGCCAAGATTGAGCCACTGCACTCTAGCCTGGGTGACAGAGTGAGACTATGTCTCAAAAAAAGAATGCATGTAAAGGGCTTGGCATGGTGTCAGGCTTGTGGCTGATAATAAACAGTAGCTGGTAATGTTAGCATTACTATTATCATGGGCAACATGTCTAAGGGGTCCTTTGAGTGACCCCCTACTACACTCAACATATATATATACACTTTAATGGTGAGATTTTCCAGGCACACCACCTAATTTGCATATGATAAATTTTGTCTAAACCAAAAAGGCTGTAATCCAAAATGTCTGCTTTTGGGTGGGATTGCTCATGTATGGGAATAGCTGGACAGCTCCCGTAGGCCTAAGAGGAGGAGTCGATTCTTCCCTAGGATGCAAAAGCCAGATATGGGGGAACAGCAGAAGTGCCAGGCTGACAAAGGCTGGAAAAAAGACCCAAAGACGCAGACAAGAGGGGCAAGTTCTGGTCAGTTCTTTGTCTCCTTGACAATACTATGGGTGGGGCCCTGTCCAGGCTGCCTGCCCTGCCCAGCACCCCTTCCTTCCTCCCCGAGAAGGAAACGGAAGGAAAATGAGAATTCTGCTATCTGGAAGGCTGCATGGCTGGGGCTGGCAAGGGCCAGTCCGGCCTGTAGGCTAGCAGTTAGGATGCCAGTCATCTGCAGACGAGAATCTAGGGATGAGGCTGATGGGGCAACTTCCCAGAGACCCTCCAGCTGGCCACTGCTGCCTTCCTGAGGCTGTGCAGTGGGGTGTGGAAGGAGCCAGGATCCACTGACCCCCGTGTGTCATGCCAGCTGACTTTGCCATGCGGCACAGAAAGAAACCCTAGCCTCCCAGCAGGCTTCTACCCCCAGGGCATGAATGTTGCCCATCTGAGCCTGAGACCACAGTTGCTTTCCAGATGTCCCTCAGCAGGGTTCCACATCCTTACGCCCTGGCACAGGCACAGAGGTTAAGGGGAAAAGGCTGTGGAGTCAAGCAGACCTGAGTTCAAGTCCCAGCTTTGCCATTTACTGGTGTGACCTAGTGCCAGCTCTGTGAGGGATCCGGGCCTCAGTTTCCTCACCCACAAGTTAGGGATGATAAAATAAGCTCCTGACAGGATCAAGTGAGAATGATGTATGTGTAGTATTTAGCCCAGGTCTGATGCATAACTAGTGCTCGAAAAATGTTAGCCATTGTCCTTCTGATTAATTATTACTATAGGCCGGGCATGTGGCTCACGCCTGTAATCCAAGCACTTTGGAGGCCAAGGCAGGTGGATTACCTGAGGTCGGGGGTTCAAGACCAGCCTGACCAACATGGTGAAACCCCATCTTTAAAAAAAAAAAAATTATTACTATAGTTCATGAGGTCCCCAAATGTACTATGATTGAGCAGTTATACCAATTCCAGCCAGGAAGTCCATATGGTCCAGTATGGGAGTGACTCTCTCCAAAGTCCAGTGTGATTTGATCCTGGAACTTCTGTCATGCTGAGGATATGGCCCAGGTAGGAGCTAGAGTCCTTTCAGACCACTGGAGAGCCTCCCTTTCTGTGGAAACACATGGGGAATCTTAGATGATACAGCTCCTGGATTCCCTTTGGCTTCGGGCCTGACCAGGGTGCGTAAGGAGGCAAAAGGGATGGGGAATATATGCCTCTGAACAGCTGTGCCTGAAGTGGTCTGCTTCCACATCATGGGAAACAGGACACCCTGCAAGGGATACGGTCCAAAGCTGCCTGGATTTCCAAGGATTTGGGTCCAGACTCTAGATGGTCAGGGCTGGTGGCTGGGGGAAGCAGCTCCCACTTCTCTAAGCCATTGC